GGCCGTGTGCAAAAGATTCCATCCTTATAAAGCACATCTCACATTCGTGGCAGTTTGCCCTGATGAAGCCGGGAGGACCCGGCGAAAGCTCGGCGTTTTATATTTATTAAACCTTTTTATGGTTTCATAATTCTCCTGGTGGTCTCACTTTTTTAAGTGCTATCAGTCATATATATATATATATATATATATATATATACACATACTAGCTGCACCTGGCCACGCGTTGCTGTGGCTCAGTCTGGTAAAAGCGTGTGTTGCTTTTATGTCCAACAGATGGCGCTGTTTTTCAAAAACATGTTTTTACCTGTCACAGGTGTGACATCTATATAATATAGGTATATAAAAACACGCGCGTATTCGAATTCAACGCTGTGTCAAAATTTCAAAGCAATCGGTGAAGAACTTTCGGAGATTTAAGATTTTGAACAAACGAGCAGTGGTTCTTAACCTGGGCGATATCGCCCCCCCAGGGGGCAATTTTGTTTTTCAGGGGGGCGGTGGAACAAAAAAGGGTGATGTGGGGGCGAAGGAACAAAAAGGGGGTGATATAGGGGCGATTGAGAAGTTTTGGGGACACTTTTGAGCCTTCCCCTGCGGCTCCAAGCCTCCTCCGCCATTTGCAGAGAGAGACAGAGACAGAGAGAGGCACTTGTGCTTCTCTCTCTCTCTCTCTCTCTCTCTCTCTCATGCGGATTCACCTGGAAAAAGTGGGGGGAGGGAGAGGAAAGAGAGAGAGGGGAAAGAGAAAGAGAGAGGAAAGAGAGAGAGGAAGCACAAGTGCCTCTCTCTCCCTCTCTCTCTCTCACTCTCTCTCTCACACACACACACACTGAGTGGGGGAAGAGGACTGGCAGACCAAGGGCAGAAAGAGGGAGAGAGAGGGAGGGAGGGAGAGAGACAGAGACAGACCCTTTTGACATCTAAAATGAAGATAACACTGAAGATATATAAATAATAAAGGTAAAAAAGGATATATGTAGTGTTATCTTCATTTTAGATGTCAAAAGGGTTTTGCGGCTCCCAGTGTTTTGTTTTTGCTGGGAAACAGGTCCAAGTGGCTCTTTGAGTGCTTTGGGTTGCTTACCCCTGCTCTACCCATACAGTGGTGCGCCATTGACCAGAATGGGCAGTGATGGAGGGGGGGGAGCGCTTCTTTCGAAACATCGCATGCTGTTTTGTGTGTCTCTTTGTATTGTACTTTTTTAGCGTGCACTCCAGTTCGATATAGTTTGTTTATTCATCTTTCTCTTCACACCATTTATATTGGATATCTTGGGGAAACTTTCTTACTTAATATCAGAGAGTATTTGCTTTCATAACAATTATTTTGAGTTAAAATATTTAATAGTTTAGTATACTTAAAATTAAAAAAATCACTCATACCCAGGATTACTAAATATGGATCTCTGCCCTTCTTAACTTTAGGACTACTATTTTCCTTAAAATGGATTTTAATGTGGTTCTGGTGGGCAACCTGGTGCCCTTTAGATCTTCTGGACCACAATTCCCATAATTACTGCTGCTGCTGTGTTGGACAAGGCAAACCTTTGAGGAAAAATTGTTGCATTAAGTCAATATTTCAAAGAATGAAATGCTGATGGCATAGTAAATACTAACACAATTATCATTATTTTAATTATTAAAGGCAAATTGTCTCAAAAAGTTTTGCTTTAGTTTTCACTCATACCTTAAGCCAGACTTAAAACACTGCTCATTGCTTTTTAAATATTATCCATATGGTATAGTTTACTTTAATACATTTACTAGTCCTCTTTCAAAATTGAAATTTTAGCAACTGTAATTATGGGTACAGAGTAATTGTACCAGGGAATATAAAGTACATTGAAAGGAGAGGGTGCATAGAGATTACAGTGAATATACTGTAGAACAGGGGAGTCAAACTCGCAACATCACGTGACGTGTCGCAACGTATCGCGACTTTTTTGCCATTGCCGGCAATGGGGTGGGCGCGGTTTCACTATGATGCATCTGGCAGTTTGACACCCCTGCTGTAGAATATACTGTAGTCACAATAAATGTTAAAAAGCATCTTGTTAAAAAGATGCTCTTCTGAAGAGATGGAAAAGTTATCTTCTAAAAGATAGAAATTGCTCTGGGTTTAGTATTGCTGGAAAAACTAATCTTGGAAGGCAATTTCAAACTGCTCTTAATCTAGCATAAAAATAACTGTTTCTCATTGATAGATGTCGCCTAGCCATCATATTTAAGGAAACTAGTTTTCTATTCTAACAATGAACAATGTTAGTTTAGTTGTGAACTCCAAACAACAGTTCATAAACCACATTTGAGAGAGGCTATGGCAGGTGTAAAGTTAATTACATTCAGCAGTGTGCTAACTCAGCAGGTATTGTTGATCTTCTTAATATGTTTGGATAGTATTATCTGTACAACAGAGATTTATCTTCAGCAACTGGGTATATGTTTCTGGCCAAGCAAAGTTTGGAGAAATAATAACAAGTGAGGCAAATGAGAAGCTGTGGTTTTAAAACTGCAATATGCTTGAGATTTTTGCCTCATGCTCTCTTGTTACCTGTCCAAGAAATCTGACTCTTTTTTCTTTTCTGAGTCTTCTTTTTCCCCAGTGTTTATTTTGTACCTGAATAAGTCATTTGCATCAGTAGATAAAAAATTATTCTATTCTATTCTATTCTATTCTATTCTATTTTTCCATCCCATAGAATTAGTATTAGGAAAACTAATGCATCAGTAGATCAACTTTGGCTGAAATGCAAAGCAGGAAACATTGACAGCTACTTATTAGTAGCTCCATAATCTCTTAATGAGTTTTTCAGATTAAAAACATTGTTAAATACAATCAGGTTTGATTGA